GGGGGGCGCAGAGTCAGGAGCCGGACGGACCTGGTTGGAATCAGCCCCACTGCTCACTGGCCGCTCAATAGGAGCGCGTCCCTTCACCTCTGGGAACCTCGGTTATGATGCCCGTGAAAGTGCAGATGGTTCCAGAATCTTCTTCCTTGGTGGTGAAATACTACAGATGGCGTTGCCAGATGGAGCGAACAGAGATATAGGCTGCTCGGTTAAATCTGAATTCCAGATAAGCAAGGAATATTTTTTTTAGTATAAGTAAGTCCCTGTGCAGTGTTTGGGACATACTTATGTTGATAAGTTATTCCTTGTTTATCTGGAATTTGAGTTTCACTGAGTGTCCCGTATTTTGTCTGACCTTATATGATGTCCCATTGGAAGGGCTCGATAACTTGGGAAATATCTCTGCTGAAACCGCCACCCTGCGTTTCCTGGGGACTCAAGGCCGGGGCTGTGGCGAAAGCCTGCGTCCACCAGGACTGGATGCCCCTGGCCAGTAGTTGGCCCGTGTTCTCTCACCTGTGTCAGCTCAGTGAGCTGGGAGGTCCATCCCGCCACGCTGTCCTTGCCCGCCGACTCTCTCCACCCTCTCGGGCCGCTGATCTTGATCCAGGATTGGTTATGGCTCATTCCTCCCAGCTGGCTTCTTCCTTCCTCCCTCCACCCTGCTGCCATGGTGGCCACATCACCGCCTCTCCATTCCCACGCGCTCCCCCACAGCGTGCAGTCCTCAGCCGAGCGGGGACACCCGGGGCCCTCCATGATCCGATCCCCTTCGGCACCCACCTCCCCAGCAGCATCCATCTCACCCCTTCTCCCCTGCTCTAACCATCTCAAAGCACTCACACCCCCTGAAGACACCCTGCCACTCAGTGCCCCCGAGCCTCTGCCCACTGCCCCAACCACCCAGAGCATCGCTCTCTAAACCCCCCTCTGCAAGCCCTCCCACTGCCCCCACCTCCCCAACATGCCCCTCATGGAGTTGAGCACCCCCTCCTCTGGGCCACTGGCCTCTCTCAGACCCCGCGATGGCCCTTCTCCCCTGCACCGGGCACCCTCAGCTGGCCAGTCAACTCTGGAAGACAGGAGAGGGCATTGGTTGAGACCAAGGCTTCTGGGGTCAGTCGTGTCGTGGGGCTTGTTGTCTGGAATCGAGAGGACTGACCTTGGGTTTTAGTTGAGGAGGCTTGGTGGGGCCTTTCTGAAACACAGGCTGATGTGAGGAGACACCCTCCTCACCAGAGGCAGGGCAGGCCTGCAGCCAGCAGTCCCCGCGGTGGGTCCCAGCCTGGCCAGGGTCGCTCCCGTCGGTTCCCTATCCAAGGGCGCCATCTCGTGACCGCATCTGGATTGGCAGCCTGGCGTGTGCTGAGCAGGAGCTGGGACGCGGGTTGAGCCCAGAAAGGCCTGCATTGTCTGGTCTTCTTCTCTGCGGAGCCTCTTCTAAATATATATATTTTATTGATTTCAGAGAGAGGAAGAGAGAGAGAGAAACATCAGTGATGAGAGAGTCATTGATCGAGCCCGCAGCCCGGGCATGTGCCCTGACTGGGAATCGAACCCCGATCACCTGGATCCTAGGTCGATGCTCAACCGCTGAGCCACGCCCGGCCGGGCATGCAGAGCCTCTTCTAGATCCTTCCATTGCTTTCTCTCCTTCCATTGCTGCCTCCCCGTCGGCACTCACGCCAGCCTACGGAACCACACCTGTGCCGCACGCAGAGCCTCAGACAGGCTGCAGGTGCGTGAGAAGCAGCGCGGCTCCAGCCTCAGAAAAACGTCGGCTGTGACTCTGGGAAATCACTGGTTATACCACCTCGAGAGGACCCGCAAAACTCCCCTGAAGCCATTTCTTTGCGAGATCTTGATAACAACCCCTGCCTTACATACATTGGACTTTGGTGAGGAAACATTTGTTGTGCGTGCAAAAGTGCTCTGAAGCCCTGGCTGGTTTGTTCAGTGGTTAGAGC